ACCTATGAATATTATATTTCTGACAATAGATCCTCCTCAATGTTACACACTGGACCTTTAACAGCATTTAAATGATGCCTAATTTAGCCACGATTTAACTTGCAACTCACCAAAACACAGTTTACTGTGTTATTCAATGTGCACACACACTCCTCAGTATCAGGACATACGAGAGCAGTTACTGTAAATAATAATACTGTGAGGTGTTAATTTTGGGTGTAAAAGCTCAAGAAAACAGTCTTTTTCTTATTATGACTTTTACAACAGAGCCACCAGTCCTCAGTTTAAATGTCACTCCCCTCTAAGGATGATGAAGCACTCTACCACAACCATTATATAACAATCGATTTCAACTCTCGCTGATTGCCCTTAGTTACTGCACCTGCCTGGAAATAAAAAAATGAGCATATTGCCAGGAAATGGCTGGAAACTGAAACGAGTGTGTAAGACAGGGAGAGGAGGGAGAGGAGGGAGGGCGTCTGTGCTAATGCAGAAATAGCTCCGGGGTTGTGTGCATGTGTGTGACGTCAGGGTGCAGCAAAGGAGAAGCTGAGATTATGTAATGATAGATTAATCATCTGGTGGGGAAATAATCTGAGATTAGCATCAGGCCACCCTGAGGAGAGAGAGAGGGGAGGAGGGTAGAGGACAGGGAGGAAGAGGAAGGAGGCCGAAGGAGGAAAAGGGAGATTAGGTTAATGAAAGAGAGAGTGTCACAGAGAGGAGAGGATGAGAGAGACCAGATGCTTTTATATTAAATACACACTTCAACTCCAAAAGGTAAAGTTCTCCAAAAAGTTTATAGTTTGTTCTTTTTTCTGTGCAAAAACATCCATCTACTGTGTGCATAAAGTAATTATCTTCCATATCTACACATATATTTACTAAATAAGGTTGAATAATAATTGCAATATTATCAGAATCAGAATATGGTATAAGTGCGATATGCAAATCGCTGGAAGCTCCAATTCTTTTAAAGGTAAAATGTGACAAACAGCATTATAATGTAAAGTACTGTAGAGCTGCAGAGAAACTCTGGTCTATAAATATTCTTCTCCAGGTTTAAGGAAACATATTTGTTTGTTACAGACCACAAAAAAAATCTTACATCATCATTTCAATAGTTTGTAAAGTGACTCATATCACAATATCTGTCAAAGCAATATGATGGTTTTACTATATTGTGCAGCCCTGATACAAATAATATCTCCTCTACGTATAAAATTATAATCTTGTGTGAATAAGATCTTTTACAGCCCCGGTTGTATAAAAGCTCGTAGGCAAAGGTTGCCCTTAAATTATCATCTAATGAAGCCTTAGAGAAAGATTTGTTGCATAAAATCCCCTGAAGGATTTCAAGTGTTTGCTCAACACTTCTTAATTATTCCCTTGCACACTGCTATTGTTTTAAAGTCTGTAATGGGAGCCCTGTTCCCTAAGCCAGTGGTTCCCAACCGGGGGGTCAGGACCCCCACTAGGGGTCGCCAAAGCTTCACAGGCGGTCGTGAGGCCTTCTTCTTAAAAAATATACACAGTAGGCCTGTATCTCAGTGTTTGGCTCACTTCTGTGAAGAAATGTAAAGTAAATTCTAATAGAACAATGGCCAACAACCAGGGACAGGAACTTGTCTAAAAATAAGCCTATTAAGTCTGCATGATTGTTAAAAAATAATAGAAAATTCACAATACAGACAGAGGATTGTATAAAAAGTTCCCTAAACAGGTAATAATCTGCTCGAAAATTCATCCAAAATCACTCCGTTTTTACACAAACTTCCTTCAGTTACTGAGTTCACTGTTTGGGTTCTTTGTACAGTTTTGAATATAATATTAATTATTTATAAAATATGTTTTTTACTGAATGATACAAAAGTAAAAAGGTTGGGAACCACTGCACTAAACCCTATCCTGCACCCAACTGGTGCAACATAAGACAACAGCTGAATTTATACTAATTGAAGAGGAGGAGACACATTTTCGGGACAGGAAAACCAACCGGACGCTACGAGCGATGAACAACAAGTAGAGCGGAGGTCAGATAGTTTTAGTTTGTCCTAATGAAGATGTCCTAACCTGCTCCATCAGCAAACAGGCTGAGCATTGCTTGTTTGAAAAAGAAACCTTCGCTCTGGTTCTATTTTTTGAGAAGTTTCGTACACTTCCTCCACCTCAAACCTGCTGCAACCAAGTGTGGAGAGTCATCAGTCAACACGAGCAAGTGGGAGATGTTTGCTTTCTGCTAGAGATGCAAAAAAGCTAGTTTATGAGATTGAGAAGCGGCACATCTTATACTGTATGATCCACAGCACCGTTTTTATCAGGATATTCCCAAAAAGGAGAAGAATTCAGAGAGCTGTTGTAATAAAAAGATCCATATTGTGTGTGCGGAGGTTAGTATCTTCTGCACAAGACACGGTTGTTCATACAAGATAATAACTTGTGCTACACAACATAATAATATAAAATGATATGTAATATTCCTATAAGATCAAACAATCATCCTCTGGACGTCTGGAGCTCTGAATTTAACCGGCGACCTCCGATACAGAGTACACTGAACTGCTCACACAGAAGCTTCACACTGACTCACGCAAACACACACATGCATTGACGCCACATACACACAAACATACATTTGCAGCATTACATTACACACTGACGCTCACACACTGACGAGGGGAAGCAGAGGTGCACCGATAACGTCTGCAGATTCAGCGTCTGAGGATTCTCTCCAGGAAATGAAAGCAATACTTTAATGAGCTTCGCTTTGGCACCGGCAAATGTTTTGGGTGAAAAATGTCTGCAGAGGAGTGATGAGCAGTGCCCGCTGTGCCAAACTGAGAGTGGAGAGGAGGTTACACAACCTCCCCCAACCCCCATCAAAGCAGCCGGTTAGAGAGAAGTTAGCATCAGGAGTGAGAGGGTGCAACCTTCAAAATAAAAGTGCTAAATATCCACTTCAGTAAGGACAGAAGTTAAGAAGTGTCCTTGCTTTCTTTAGGTTATATTTCGTATTGTATCATTACTGTTTGTTTTAAGGAGGTTGGAAAAGTACACACATTTATTTACTTTACTCGGAAATGAAGTATAAAAGTATAAAAGTAAAAGTTACTCCCTGAAACTTCAAAATCTTTAATTCCCTTCTAAAAACACTTTTATAACTTGTATGTAAATTTACACAATATTTCTTGTCTATCCTTGTGACTTATTATATTTTAATCTTTTATTTTATTTCATTTCAGCACACACTGCTATGTTTTCTTTACTATTATTGTTGTTATAAAGCTACTTTCTATCTTTTTGAACATTGTCTTCATTGGGAAAAGTTGCCAATTTGGCTAATTGTCTATTTTAATACACATGACTTTGTAATATTTAATGTCTTATAATAAACTATTTCTACAATGATGGATGTTAACTGTGCTACTTGGATCATAATGTATAAGATAATACTATATAGGCAAAATCTAAAGTCACACCTGTATTTATATTCATTTAATCATATATAAAGTAAGTTTAAAAGTTATTATAGTTTTGTATTTGTCATTAGTTTTTATTTTTATTTCATTTTTAATGTTTGTTTTCTCTTCAGTTTAGTTTCAAGAGTGGGTTCACTGGTTTCACTTTAGGTTTTATTGTTTAAAATGTTTAGTTTTTATTAGTTTCAGTGTTATTTTGGTTATTTTTTATTACAATATTGGGGTATTTGTCAGTGGTAAGATTTAAGAAGTTCATATTCTAATACAAACACACTGACCAACGGTCATGTAGACATCCAGAGCCTCAAACAAATATCACCAATAACTCCTCGTGCTTGTTGTGTCGACACGTTGGACTAAAACTGAAGACATTTCCTTCCTTTATTTGTTGTTGTTTGTTTGTTTTGTAAGTACACAATATTGTTTCAGCTTGTTTGTTTATTTCAGTGAAATAAAATTATTTCTCACACCTAGTTTAGTTCAGTTTTAGTTTGGAATCATAAAGTTGGCACAAAGTACTGATATAGTTCAAATTCATTCAGAACTTCTTGTGCATCAGAAACACTTTGTTACGTTAAAGAAATATAAATAACATTAAAATGTGTATTATATTACAAGATCTAACAACTATATATAGAACATAGTAAAATATAAACAAAGAAATAGGAAGTATGTTCATTGTAATACGATATATAGAAGTTAGAAATATATGTTTGCTACAGTGTAATAAATAATGAATAAATATTAATAATAGCTGAATCCTTAAAGAATAGCAGTATTAGTGACAGAATAATATATTTATAGTATATTGAATATTGTAGTTAACCCTAACCCTAACAAAATATAGTAGTTTGGATATTTATCAACTTTATTTGTTCAGTTTTATCATTATTTCTTTTTCACCCTTAAAAAAAGACTCAATAATGTCACATTACCTGATAAATATCATACAAATCTACAGACTATAGTATCGATGAATCTCTGAGCTCCAACGTGACAGAACAACAGAAAAGTTCAGGAAGTGACACACACACACACACACACACACACACACACACAGACACACACACAGGATGCTTACACTGTTCCTTTAAGGCCAACGTTGAAAACATTAAAGTGAACGTGACAGCAGTTCAACAAAAAGTCCAGTCACCTCTAACGCATCAGCCTTCAATATTTATGGAACAATAAAAGTTAAAGGGGCGTCTCGGCGGCCGGAAGGACGTCCCAAGGATGTAAAAGAAGAGACGAGCTAGCTTACCTTGACGTCTGCCTTCTTGTTGAGGAGACTCTTGGCTGCTGCAGAGAGGCAGAAGGACACACCTTCAGACGGCAGAGTACACATCATACACCTTCAGACGACCACAGCGCTCTAGAATCTGCTCACGGGCTGCACGGCGGCGGCGCATGCAACGCACGGGAGGGAAACTCTCAGCAAAGAAGGAAAAAGGAAACATGCAGGACCCACGGACAGAGTGACAGCTCGTCTATGCACATATCCTCCCTTTCTCCACCCTTAAGGGGAGATAAAAAAAACACCCAGAATTCATCCCTTCAACCCCTCCCTCCGTCCTGTAAAAAAGACATTAAAACCGATGAATAAACACACACACACACACATCCAACTGGCACCTCCTAACCCTGATCCACTGCCCAGAGCATTAGATAAGCAGAGGGCATGAGGAGAGGGAAAAAAAAGTCAAACTAATTCTCCGTATAATCCAAAATACACTCACACACAGATGCGAGAGGGAGGGATTAGGAGTGAAAGCATTGAGGGAAGGGAAACGGAGATGCAGGTACGTGATAATGGGTTTGTTAATCTCAAGAGTGGGTCGGATTAGTTGGGCAGAGTTCATCGATGGGCATAAACAACGCACCCAGAAGAAGCCGCAACAGAAACAGTAAAGGATAAAGGAGGAAGGAGACGATCCTGCTGACGTTAATCCTCCATCAGTGTGTGTGTGTGTATGTGTGTGTGTGTGAGCCTCAACTTGAAAGCAAGAGTCACACTTAAAGTCCTCCCTCCAGTCAGGAATCAGTTCCTACAGTTGGATGACAGGAAGTCGCTGGTTTTCCCGACTGCTTTCCTTCAGGGAAACTGCAGCAAACGGACTGTATTTTATGGATATTTCGTATTATATTTAATGTGTAACAGGAGAGACCAGCTGATAAACTGAACAATGCACACAAACGGTGAACTCAGTAACTGCAGGAAGTTTGTGTAAAACCAGAGATTTTGGATGAATTTTGAGCAGATTATTTCCTGAATATTGATCAGAGACGAGTTTTAGTTTTTGGAACTTTTTATCCAATTCTTTGTCTGTATTTTGTTTTATTTGTTTTATCCATTTGTGTCCGCAACTGAACTTTAAAAATTTCAATGGAAAGTGAGTTTTTCCACTGATCAGCTGTAACTTTATGAGCACTGACAGTGAATAACACAGATTATCTGGTTGTCAGGGCTTATTAGAAGCAGGAAAAATGGGC